AAGCATGGTCCCCAGACCCCTACCCCTGCTACTCTGTCCCTCAAAGTGTTTGACTGTATTCAGGAAACTTCTTAGCTTTGGTTTAGTCCAGTTGGGGATTTTTTTTTTTTTTTTTTTTAATGTCATCTCATTATTTGGGCAAAGAATAAAATAACTTACTTTTCCTTTTCTTGAAGCTGATGCTCCTGAGAGGCCATTTTAGGTTCTGTTCCAAGATTTTTTTGCATCTGCTGCCTCCTTTTTCTACTTGGTGCAATATCAGTGACATCAGGACTCGAAAAAATGGAATCATCTTCTCTTAAAGTGGCTAAAATGAAAAATAAGAATATAACAAAAATTATGCATATAATTTGTGGATAAAGTATCAACTTGCTGCTTTGGTACTGACACAAAGTGACATTAAAATACAGTGAAACCTGTGAGAGTCAGAACTCCTTGGGACGGCCCTGTCTGTCTGGGTTTCACAAGGTTTCTGCCTTTGGCAGGGTGCAGTTTTACCACTTTTCTGTTGCTATTAGTGGAAAATATTTGAATTTTCCTTCTCTGACAGGTTCCTGCCTTACACAGGTTCTGGCTTTCCCATATTTTACTGTTTAACAAAACCACTCTTTTAAACCTTTATGCAGATTTAGTAAAGTGGGCCAGGTGGATGGTGTGTAATGCTTTACTATCAACACAAAACAAAGTATATTGCACACATGAAATAATTTGATCAAAATGGTTTTTAACTATCTTAGGCAACAACCTTCCCCAACCTATTATTAGCACAGTTTAACTTCTTGTAGAACTGGATACAGGCCTTGGAGTCACCTCTAAAAGGTGTGTTGAAAAAAAAATCTTTTATATGGGAATAATATGAATTATATTAATAATAATATGAATGAAGTAATGGGGACTTCTGCTAGTGATTCAGAAATAATTTTATAAACTTTTGGGCCAAGTGTGAGGAATAAGCACAAGAAAAACATAAAAAAGTAGTAACTGATGTCTCTAATACGGCTAAACCATTAAATTACACCAAAAATATTTGATATACATGAAACAGAGGCAACAATAGAAACATGCTCGGTTTATATTCCTTTATTCTCTATAACGTAGTTCCAAAGAGCTAAAGGAGATTTCATTCACTCATTTAATACATAGAATAGTTCACTATAATACTCATCTCTGAAAGAAAAGAGCTCCTTTCCTATTGGCATATAAAGAAACAGTATTGACATAATTTAGACTTCAGATGTTCTGTTGGTTCATATGTTTGTTTTCCCAGCATGTTAATGTTTTTAAGTGATCCAGGGCAAGCTTTCAGCACAAGTAAAGAAAATCCTTAGCAATGTATAAAAGCTTAAAAAGAGGGAAATGGAAGGCGGCAAGTCCTATTAAGGTCCATTCCTTTAGCACAAAAAGTGGCTGGTTTAGTGAAATCAAGAAGTAAGAAGCTGAGAAGACATTTCTCCCTGTATCCTGAATAGATTTTTAATTCTGATGAAATTATTAGACTCAAATGTATTCAATAACTCTTATCTGTTTCCTTTGAGATGAAGTGTGATGCAAAGGGTCAGCTGACTATGATGCTGGGTAAAAGTATTGCTAGAGATTTAAAGAAGCTAGTATTTTTATTAGCAAAGTGCCCAGCACATAAATTCTAAGAAATAGTAGTTGTTATTAAGACAAAAATATAAGAGAAATGTTTCAAGAAAGTGGACAACAGTGTCCAAGCGATCTCAGAGAGGTCAAGTAAGGTATGGACTGCACAGAATGAGAGCTCAAAATATAGGCATTTTTTACCAGAATGTGATATATGTGCACCTGAAAAACCCATTCTACAAAATTGCACACTAGAAAAATAGGGCTTACAGGGGAAAGGGAAACCCTGGTGGTGTAATGGTTAAGTGCTATGGCTCCTAACCAAATCCACCAGGCGCTCCTTGGAAACTCTATGGGGCAGTTCTACTCTGTCCTATAGGGTCGCTATGAGTCGGAATCGACTTGACAGCAACGGGTTTGGTTTTTTTTTGGTTTATAAGGGAAAAAATAAAGTTTGAGAAGACCACTCAAAATCTATGCAGCTTTGTCATTCTTGTTCTTAGTTCTCTGGTTACATTTACATAAATAATCAACAAAATACAGACTTGTCTAGGAAGAAAAATTAGCAGAAGTGTTGAAGTTAGAGAACATTTTAGTTATAGAGAGATTTGCAAAATGGAAAATACTATATTTAATGACACAGAGGGGATTTAGAAAAAAAGATTATAAAGTTTAAATTAAAATATAAGGTAAAATTTAAAAAAAAATTAAAGTCTACAAAAACTCTGCCATTCATTTCAAAACTCCAAATGATGGCTTAATATTCTACAAAATTGGTACCCAATAAGATGTTTTATATGTGAAATGATTACACTGTTTGTTATAATGGCTGCAATTTACTTTAAGATAAAATGTGATTAAATGTTTGTGTTACTTTAGATGAGCTATAACCCAAGTATTGCTAGCATCTAATCAAGAATGCATAGACCAGGGACAGTTTCTTGGAATTTTAATAGGAAAGCCTGTACTCCTGAGGGGGCTACTACAGGCATTTTGTTATCCATATCTCAATCAATAACTGATGCTTCACTAATTAGTGTACTGAATGACAAAAATGTGTTTCTACTGGTGAAAATAATGTCTGTAAACTAGCTTGATGAATGTTGTATATGAGCTCTTAAGAGTGAAATTACAGGTATTCAAGATAGATGGGTTTTCTAAATTATTTCTGAGATCCTCCCTACCATTTTATGAACAGGGTATGTTTTAGGCTGGGCTCTCCAGAGAAGCAAAACCAGTAAAAAGAGAGATTTTTATCAAGGAGATGGCACAGTTTTTAGAGGCTGTAAGTCCCAAGTCCTTGAGGCAGGAAAGAATTCTCCTGATTAATGTAGCTGCAGGGGCTGGCAAACCCAAAATTGGCAGACCAGAGAGCAGTGCTGCCACAGGCTGTGAAGATCGACGATTGGCAGGCAAGACCGCCAGCAAGCTGCTAGCCCAAGTCCCAGGAACCGTACGACAGACTAACGGGAGCCAGCTGCAGGATCCGGAAAAAGCAAAAGCCCTGGGAAGGCAAGCAGGAAAGAAGTAGGCAGAAGAGGGTGGGGAGATGAAGGTTGAGGGGGCGGTAAGCCACCACAGGCCCTGCCCCTGCCGGTACCACTCAGCAGATTCCATCGTGTGGGTGATCATGTATCTAATTTCAACAAGGAAGTGATCACAACATTATACAACTGCCAAAACACTGAGAATCATGGCCCAGCCAAGTTGACACACAATCTTAACCATCACAGAATATAAGAATCTAGTGAGGCTTAGAACATTTATTCTTAGGGATGATGCCCTATGCAGAATCGTTAAGTGGTTCTTTGTCCAGCTGTGAACTCTGGACAACTGTGGTTGCCCGATGCCAGGAAGAATCCTCATCCCTGTCTTTGGAATCTGTAGATTTGCCAGAAGTGAACCTTTTATATGAAGTGGTGACTGGGATACCTAAAAGGACAGAGAGCTGGGACTTCTTCAAGTTCATAGGACAGCTACATGAATTGCTTTGTGCTTATTTGCTAGTAAATATTGAGTTAATAATTGTATGTGTGGCAAAATTTAATCTGAGAATTTTTTTTATTATAGTCTTATTGCAAAATTGTGGGGGAAGTGTCTAATCTTCCCACACTTCAAACTTCTTGGTGCCTGTCATTATTTACCACAAAGAAGCAATGAGCTGTGTAAGACCAAATGTTTCTAGTCAGTTCACCAGACCATTTTTATTCATTCTTCTTGACAATTACAGGGCAGATTCTCTATAATGCTGGCATGAAGACAGAGGACTAGCTATCTAGCCTAGTTACTGCTTAAATAGAATATATCTTCTTTAGTTTCTATTTTTGCACCATGGGAAACAGTTCGTCCCTCAGTTTATTATGTACATGTGATAACAAACTGTATTTTAATAGACTCTCTTATTCTAGTTTTGGTAATATCTCTGTGGGCCTTAACAAAAGACAAAGCATTTTATCCTACCCTTCCCTCTCCAACCCAGGATGCCAGAAACCAGGAAAAGGGGGCAATACTTTATAACCTGGCTTCTAAGTATTAAACTGCTCACCTCAAATATTCTTCAAATTTCAGTCCACCTACCTCTATCCTTTACTTGTTCTAATGCTTTGTCCTTTCATTTCTCTTTGGTCTTGATGCTGGATACTTTGTTTCTATCTGACATTGGGTACCCTGAACAATGATTCTGGGTCCACGAATAAGCAAAGCTATTTGCATACCAGAAATAGTAAGTCAAATACAAAAACAAAAAACCAAACTCATTGCTGTCGAGTTGATTCTGACTCATAGCGACCCTACAGGACAGAGTAGAACTTCCCCATAGGGTTTCCAAGGCTGTAATCTTTATGGAAGCAGACTGACACATCTTTCTCCTGTGGATTGGCAGGTAGGTTCAAACTGCCCACCTTTCAGTTAGCAGTCCAACTCTAACCACTGTACCATCAGGGCGCCTATACATCAAATACAGGGACTCTCAAGTGTTTGTAGTATTCATAACCTTACAAATTTTAAGTATGATAATTACAGTTTTCACTTTCTAGTCTTGCATTCCATTTTTAAGAAAAAAAATCAATTCATATTAAGTTTCCTAGGTTATACATACTCATTATAGATATGAGGAGCAGCTTGAACAGAGTTGGAAAACACCAGCAAATGCTCAAAGGTAATAAGAAGGAATGTGACCTGGTTTGAGTTGTATTCATCAGAGAGAAAAATTGAGAGAATGACACAGGATAAGTATGGGCAGCAAGGAAGAAGGGGAAGGAAAAGGAGACAGAGAGGTATGTTAAATAAATTTGCAAACTTTCTAATCCAGCAGAAGAGTATGGATTTGATGCTGAATGGGGAATTTTTTCTCAGAGTCCACCTCCAAAATTCATAGTTTTTAATATTATCATTAGTCTCTCTGTCATAACAATATGTCTTTCACCATTTCCAGGAAATTTTTAAAAAGAAAAGAAAAAAAAATTCTATTGTCAATTAACTTACTATAGCTGAAATACTGACTGGCAGGACTGCGGGATGAATTTCAAGTTCTCATCAGGTTCACTGCATCTAGAAAATGGGGAATCTTTACACAAGACTTCTTATTGTGAAAGGTGGCTCCACGAAAAGCCACACTTCTTCTCATCTGACAGAAGAACTGCAGGAGCTTGGCAGCAGGCAGTTCAGACATGAGAAAAGCAGAGTGTTGGCTTCCCAGGGTACTCTCAATGTTGAAATGAAATG